CAAGAGCTCTGGGAGCTCCTATCATGCTTTCTGCTTATTGATTGTTCATCCTGCCGAGCCCCAACACTGCTTTGCCATTTGTTCAGGTATTTTTAGCCCTGCCAAATAAAGCGGCCTCTCATGTTTCCACTTATATTACTCATATTTTCACTGAATGCGTGCTGTTGCTTCTACAGCATGTTGTGACCGTCATTAGACTTGCAGAGAGAGGCTCAAGTCTTTACAGATATGAAATTAATAACCTTACGTCATCACAACAAATAGGGCAACAAGATTTCCTGATGTCAGAGAAGTGAGAGTGTGAGCTGAATAAGAATGCTTTTCAGCTGCATTGCTATTAAGCCTGTCGAAAATGTGCTGTGCATACATGTCACACTTTGTATTCTGATCGTTCAGATAAAGAATCGTATTATGTAGTAAGCTAATGCTAGATGCTCTTTTTTTCAGAATGAGTTCTCATTTGTTGTTAATGATTAATCAATACCAAGTATGCAGCCTGGTTACCGGGCACAGGGGGTATTAACAGTGTTCCTCCTCTCTGCTTTCTACCTTGCAAGGACATCCTGATCCTGGAGTCATTTGTGATTTTTATTTTTTTTCCCTAACCATAGTTCTAAATACTTATCATTTTTGTGCAGGTTTAGCTATTAACTAAATATAGTTTTGTATTGTGTTGGTGAGAATTTACCTGAATGTTTATTAGGGACATGATGCAGTCCATGACTAAAATGGCTGAAGATCACCGGGTTGGATTGAAAACGGTGTGCCTGCACACATTTCATATTGTTTTTGTTTCATTTGCAAGAGAAAAAAAAAACACCTAAAAATCGCTCCTGCACCATTTCTGGCAGCACACAGTAGTGTGTTACTGCACATTGTAGTTCCCTGGAACGCAGGTGTTGAACTATTCACAATAACTGGCACTGCAGAGCACCAATGTGCGTAACATGCGTTCCTGTGGTGTGAATGGGCCCTTACTCTCCCTGTGTTTATGTATTCAAAATAAATGCAACTTTTCTGGAAAAAAAAAAATCTACATTTTAATCTGAGTACCTTGTTTTATTATTGTATTTGTGTTTAGTGCTCAAGTGTTCCCAATGATTCCCTAAACTGGCCATGCACCTTTAGATTATCTGCAGACTTTCTATGGCCAGATGGAATAAGTGCAACAGATTCTTCCATCTACGCTAAACTGTGGTAATGGAGGAATCTCCCACTGGGCCAAGCTTCAGTATCTTGCTAGTCGGCCCCACTGGCTGTCAAAATACCTGAATAATCTGATTGGATGCAGGCATTGTTCAGGTGTTTTGAGAGCCAGCGGGGCCGACTAGCAAGATACTGAAGCTTGGCCCAGCGGGAGATTCCTCCATTCCCACAGTTTAGCGTAGATGGAGGAATCTGTTGCACTTTTTCCATCTGACCATAGAAAATCTGCAGATAATCTATGGGTGTATGGCCAGCTTAACATTGAACAGATTATTTCAATCTGTGTCCCTGAATCTGCACCACAGCTGCTCTTACCAAGGCCTCCTTTAGGCTTTGCGGTCTTTTGGGGCACAAAACGGTACATGTGTTTTTAAAGTGCAGTATTTTGTGCGTTGTTAAAGCCCACTCGAACCATTGTTTTTAATTATTGTATTGCAGTCAGGCTGCATATGAATGTGGGGTTATTTTCCTTTTTTTTTTCTTCTTCCCAGCCAAGACTAAAATGTGTGTTAGCAGCATCAGACTGTGGCTTGCACACAAATCTGTGGCCTGGCTCTCCAATCCTGCAAACTCTGCCTTACCGCCATAGTCTGACTCTCTTATATTTGCAGCCTAATTGCATGGTCGGATTGTAACATGTATGGTGACCACCTAGGGCCCGTTCATAGTAACTACTCTGTTAAAATGCTGCCTTTCAGCGGATGTGCTAGTGTGTTGTGGCGGCTCAGGCAATGTGCGTTGTATCGCACACTACCAGAGCTGTGACTGTTAACCCTTTATTTTTTTTACTTAATCTGGCGTGTACAATGTGCCTGCACGGCAGTGCGATGCGGTGACCTTGCAGCGGCATCCAGTGTGCTGCAATAAAATGCAGCATGTTTGCATTTTAGCTTGGCACACCACCCACATCGTAGTGTAAATGGGACACAGAAATCAATTGTATTCTATGTGTACTTGTGGTGACTTGAGTTGATACAGTACAATGCAGGTCACCGCAGTATGTGTGAACGGGCCCTTAGTGAATGAGCCTGCTTTGTTTCAAAGAGGTTGTTTGGCTCTGGCAAAATGACAATAATATTCACAGACTGCCATAATTACATGTCCAAAAAATACGTCTACCTTGTATTTACTGAGCAATAGCCCTTGAATAAAATGTCCTTGCCTAAAGTCATTTTACCACACTTCTTTTACTAATTAGAAATTGTTCAGTTTCATGTATAAAACCTTAAAAATACACTGAGGTGTTGTCCATTTTTGCAGTTAAGAAAATGTAAGCCAGTATATGTTTACTTTGGGTATTTTCTCTCCTTCCAGTTTTTTTACACCGGGTTCTTTGTATTTAGTTATTTTTCACAGCAAGCAAATGTTTTGGTTTACCCTCGCTAGCTACAAGTAGCCTAAAAAGGTTATGCAACATCCTAGTAAGGAAGAGGTTAACATACCTGTGGGTGGGTCATCTTGTGTATATTTGTCACTGTCTCATTAGTCTATGTGGAGGGGTGAGCTAACTAGAGGCTATAATTAGAAGTTTCAAGCGTTGCTTTTTTTTTTACTTCATCACACAAAACGTGCATGGCTTGGTTGCTGGTTCCCAGTGTCACTCTGAACATCTGTCGTTTTCTATTAGTGCATACTTGCAGAGTAAGTTACTATCTACAGGAGGCATCTGTCACACAACGCTATGTGTAGTCACAGGTTGCAGACTGCAGTTCACTTGCTAACATAGTTTAAAATGTAGCAACATAAGAATGATAACTTTTTCTCATTTTACCAGCTAGGGCATTTTTACCCTACTTTGCAACACACAACCTAGAATAGCCAGTTATATCCAGTCTATTAGAAAAATAATTTGTTGTTTCACATATATTTTTTCATACAGCTCTAACATATTACTCATAGATCACACACCAGCAGCAGATTTGCAAACAATCTTTTCTTTAACATTGTGCTGCTTTTCCTGCTGCAAAAAATAATTTGTTCACAAAATACACGACTCTTAGATACTATCAAAATGTTGCTTGCAGGTGCAAGATATCCTCATGTGTATTCTGTACAATTGTTCTATTATCTGACAATGGACCGACAAACAGGTAAAAAGCTTAGTTCAAAAGAAAACATTCAAAAACAATCCTAGCTCTACAGATCAGTTTTTTTCTGATGACAAAGATCATGGAAAGGTTGATCACAAAGGATCTTTCTATTTCATGATCTTTCTTAAGGTGCCCACACACCTTGCAATAATCGTACGATAATCGCGGGACATCCCGCGATCGTACGATTATCGTAAGGTGTGTGGAAGCCGTACGACCTCTACTATTGCAAGGTCGCACGACTTTTATCTTAGGAACATGTTCGAAAACACGCCGAGCATCGTACGATGTTCGGCGAGTGTGTAGCATGTTCGTAAGATAAAAGCCGGACGGGCCGGTGTGCGCAAGCGCATACTGCCCGTTCGACATTGTGGTCATCGGAAGCCCGCCCCTCGGGGGCGCGGCTTGCGGTCATCGCAAGTACGATCTGCCTGTCCAAGATAGGCAGATCTTACGTTTTTTTAATTACCTTACAACCACCGCAAGACAAAAGTCTTGTGATGGTTGTAAGGTGTGTGCCCAGCCTTAAACTATTCAATTAACTAATTTCTTAGCCGGCTCTGTTAACAGGTGCCGCAATTCACAAGAAGGCTGCCGAGACCTTGCTGGGGATCTCGGCAGCCTTCCTATAAAGCCTGGTGCTGGTTTACAGTGCCAGCTTCAGTTTATATATTTAAAGCACTAGTCTTGGCGCTTAGTATTGCGGCATTTTCATGAGTTCTCGTGAAAATGGCCAGCATCAATATCGGTGCATCCCTACTTAAAATGCACTGCTCATTTTTGCTAGTATTAATACTGCACAGACAAACACATTCTAGTACTTAGTATTCGGGCTCAGTGTAAATGGTTAATTATACATAGATTGAACTAGATGGGCCTGTGTCTTTATTCAACCTTACCTGCTATGTTACTATGTATGGGTCAGAAAATAACTAAAATATAATGCTCAAATGTGGCATAAATCTGCAGCTGCAGAGTACAGAGATATTACTTCTGGCATGTTATGTTTTTTTTATACTGTAAAATACTCGTGTGATTTTTGTCTAGTTTTAAAGGATTAGCACATTATACAATCGTACAAAAAAATAAATAAACAGCCTTATGTATGAACATACTTGGGGGAATTTATCAAAACTGGAGCAGATAAAATTTGGAGCAGATTTGCACTGCAACCAATCAGCTTCTATCTCTCATTTTCAAATCTTACCTGAGCAAACTGAAGAGATTTTGTCTGCTCCAGTTTTGATCAATTCCCCTCACTGTGTCTTCCTGTTCAGGATTTTCAGTACACCAGGCTCACAGCAAAACAGAAACATGAATGATGTGTCCCACAACGTCTCATTCATGTCAGCACACTTGTACGGCTCCTCCATTGCAGCCCCTTGCTGCCCTAGTGGTGGTAAACTCCTGAGCACTAATGATCTGTCCAGTGGCTTTTCACTAATGTGCCTGGGTTGTACAGACTTTAAGCTCCACTCATGCTCTGCTTATTGCTGTGCCCTTACTGGGGTAAAAGCTGTGGCACTACGTTACACAATGGAAAGCATTTAAACTGTTGTTCCTGTCCACTGCAGGAAAGAATAACAGTTCATACATATGCTGGAAAGTTTTATACTTTGTACCTGACAGTGCAGTGTCTTTAAATGATTTATGGCTCTTTTTAGATTTACCTTGTATTTACAGTTTTCTTTCTCATTTTGTCAGCGCTATGCGTGTCCTACTTTCTAAATTACCTCGTCCATGGATAGTCGATGAGAAGAAGGATGATGGATACACTGCATTGCACCTGGCAGCACTCAATAATCATGTTGAAGTTGCTGAATTGCTAGTTCATCAGGTATGCTGTGGTTCCCTACACTCTCTCTGCCTTTTATATTGTACTGTCCTTGCAAGGCCCTTTTTTCTTCTCTATAAAGGTTCTTCACCCTTTTTTTTTTTATATAATAAAAGGTCAGCTCACTGATTAGTCACAAGGTTCTTACATCTATTGACCATGAGATCTATTGGAGAAAAAGTTTCCAGATCCACTCAGCACACTCGGTCATTAATGTCTTTCCTGTCTTTTTTGAATTTTTATGGATTATGGAGCAGGATCAGTGGCGACATAAACATGGGGCTACCAGACTGTGGGGTGGAAAGCTGGGAACTCTGGTGGCAAGATATCAGCAGTAAATAGGAAGACAATAAATGCTATTAAGGTTGTTAACATCCTACTACCTAAAAATTAGTTTACTGAAAAAAGGGGACCTGTCAGGATGGAAATGTGGAAATTTGCATTACAGAGTTGTTTTTAAAGGTGTGGGCTTCATTGTAATTTTTCATTCACTTCTTGGTGAGCCATTGACCCAGAAAAGGCATATGCATATCGGGTATCCAGACACTTTGTATGCATATGCTTAATCTGGCTCACCAGGTAATGATGAAAGGATAAGGAGGGCAGGGGCTGTAGCTTGGACCTCAAAATGTATGTCATCAGTGGCAGCACTAATATTTTGTTCTAATTGGTTCCTTTTAAACCTTTTGATGGATATACACTAATGGATTTTTTTTTCATTCAGCCTGCAGTCTGAATGAAGAAAATGTTAGATTCCACCATTCATGCTAAACAGCGTGGATAAGCAATCTCCCACTGCAGCTATTATATTCTGACAGGTGCCTGCTGCTGTCAGAATAAATGAACAGCCACTTCAGCTGATCAGCTGCAATCACTGCTCTGTTGAACAGTAATCGATTTTTGACGAACCGCCAGGACCATTTACTGTAAGAATGCTAACAGTGTATGGCTAGCCTTAGTCATACATCATGGTACACAGACTTGGTTATTTAGAAAAAATTCCAGGCTCCCTGCCTGTCTTTTGCTCAGCAATACCCTATTGAAAGGAGCAATAAGCCATCCCTGTCCTGGACCCAGCCATTTCCTGCATGAACAAGACCTTTTTTGAGAACATGCTGGTGTTAAAGGTCCCTGTGGATAAACTGCCTTGTAAAGCCTTACTTTCCCTTGCTGGCCTCGCCATGCATCCGTTGCATCTATGTACATTTACCATGAAACTGCCAGGGGCCCTGCATTACTGTTTCAACGAGATTGTAGACACAATCCACCTGCAAAAAAAAAGCCTTTTGCAGGGGCCTATTAACTGAATCCTGGACACCTTTATCAAGGAATTCATGGGGGGAAAGAGTAACACCTTACCACAGGAAAAAGAGGGCTGCCACCCCAGCGGATAAACCTTTTACTCATGAGGTAAGGTAGAGTTCCCTTTGTCTCTCTCTCAGGCCCCCATATCCAAGGCCAGGCCCAGAACTTCTTTCAAAAGCCCTGGACCCCCAAACCCACCAAGTTCAGCCAAGTAAGACAAGTAAAACATTGTCTCCAGGAGGGATATAGACTAGAGTTTATGTCCCTGCCTCTGTCCTGCTTTATGTTTTAAAACTGACCTAAAGCTGGGTACATAAGGATTGAGTTTCAGTCAATTCAGCAGTAGTCATACAAAATGCAATCCGGGGGTGGCCTTATCTCCTTGACAAAAGTCGATCATTAGATTAACTTTTGTCAAAGGGATATACTGGTAAATTGTAGGCCGAACAGTGTGTGCAGCTAATCAGCTGCAAACACTCTTTGGGTATTTTGACAGTGGCGGGTACCTCCGTCAGAATACAGTGTACACAGTGGGAGATTTGTTCATCCCTGCTTTTAGTGGATGGAGTAAACCGGCAGATTTTGCCTGTGAGACTGAATAAAAAAAATATCTCCGTGTGTACCAAGCTCCTCTCTCTACAAAGACTAGCAGATCAATACACTACCCTGGGACAGTTTCTTCCCTAAGGGGTCCCAGAGGGAGAGAGGTTCCAGAGGTTTTACTCCAACCTGTTTACTGGTCCCAAGCAAAAGGAGGCATCTGCCCCATACTGGATCTGCAGACATATTCCTTTAGGTGCAGAAATTCCATATGTAATCCACTGGTCAGTCATTGCTTTAATTCATATGGGAGAGTTTCTGGCCTTGGGGGTCAACAAGAACTTGCACTGTCTTTTCTGCTCACTATCGCTATCTGCGTTTTGCTGTAAGCATACAGCATTTCCGGTCTGTTGCTCTTCCTTTGGCCTGTCTTTTGCACCTCACGTCTTCAATAAGGTGCTTGCCCCTGCTCTCACTCCCATTGGATTTCCATTGTGGGATATCTAGACCAACTTCTACAACAATTGGCTCAGACACTGTCAGCTAATGTACAATGGATCCTGCAGGGTCTCTCCACTCCCACATTCATGCACTACAGTCCAGGGGCTGCCAACTCTTCACTTTTGCATGCAGGAGCTGGGCCTCATGGTAGACTCCTTTTTAAGGGTGTTCCATATGCTCATTTTCACTCCAGACCATTACAACTCCATGTTCCAGCAGCATGGGACTAACAGACTGTGTCTAGGCAATCTAGCTGTCTAGCAAGACCATGCTTTCCCTGGCACTATGGATTTCCAGTTTGGCGTTGGAATCAAGAAAGTCTCTCCTCCCAATTGCCTGAAAGGTGCTCACAATGGTTGTCAGGCAGTGGAGAAGTCTTGGATACCCTATAGGCTCAGGGGGCTTGGTTGTGGGAGGAAGCTCAGCTTCTGATCAGTAATCTGGAGCTCAGGGCGATTTGGTTATTTCTTCAATGCTGGACCCTTTGGCTGAGAGCTCAACGTACTAAAACGTAGTCAAACAACGCCAGCTTTGCACATCACCGGTGTTGAAAATTGGCAGACGGATTTCCTTAGTCTTCAATTCCTTTACTCCAGTGAATGGTCTCTTCACCCTGAGGTGTTTTCATGCCACCTGTTGCAAATGGGGGACCTCCTGGTGTCCAGGTTGAACAACAAAATAGGTTCATAGCCAGGACCAGGGGTCCTCAAGCTTTTATGGTGGATGTTCTAGTGACACTGATGTATGCCTTTCCTCCTCTGAAGCTCCTCGCTCATCTACTCCGAAGGCTTGAGATGCCGGGCATGCTTGTGATTTTCATTGCACTTAACTGGGGATTTTGAAATCCAGGTTCTGAAGGACAGGGGCCTGTCACATTCTGTGCAAAGTCTACGATCGTATTTGGAAGGTGTATGTTTCTTGGTGCAAGGCCAGGGAATTATATCTCAGAAAGTTCTCCATGAGACAAGTCCAGTCTTTTCTCTTGTCTGGTCTGAATTGGATCAGTGTTTGGCCTTGAGTACCATCAAGGGTCAAATCTTGGCCTTAGTGATTCTTATTTAGAGACTGCATCTCACTCTTTAGTGAGGGCCTTCGTCCAGGGTGTCACTCACATTGTTCCTTCTGTCGTTCTTCAGTGACTCATCTCCTGGAATGTAAATTCCTGGCCTTATACCAAGTGAAGTATGCCTTCCAAATGCGATTCTGTGGGGATCTCTCAGCCTGGTTCTGTTGGCTTTTCAAAGGATGCCCTTAGAACACTTTAGGGATATTTCCCTGCCTATTCTTATTACCAAGGTCACCTTTCTTGTTGCCATTCCTTCTGAGAGGCAAGTTTCTGAGTTGGTGGCTTTGTAAAAAACCTTGTGCTACACAATAACAACGTTGTTTGAGGCCCAGGACCTATTTTCTTTCCAAGGCAGTGTCCTCCTACCACCTTAACCAGAACAGTGTTCTGTATTCCTTATGTCCTGCTCCTAAACATCTTAATGACATTTTCCCTTCCCCTGGATCTAGTTTAGGCTGTTTGGGTTTATCTCTCAGCTACACCTTCCCTGGGCCAGGCCGAGTCTGTTGTTCCTGGGGCCTCACCATAGAGGGCCGCCTGCTTCTCTAGGTGAATTCATCATCTCATCATTCAAGCTTATGACCTCAGGAGCCGGTTCCCCCATTTCTGGTTAAGGCACACTCCACTAGTTTGGTTAAGGCTTCATGGGTTTTCCAAAATCGGGCTCCATCTTCTGTTTACACGTTTGTTAGGTTTTACTGTTTATAAGGTACTTCAGGTGGTGGTGTATGCTTTTCTTAGCCAGTCTAAGAAAAGCTGTGTCAAGCCTGTGTCCCAGGATGTACAACTAAGAAAATAGAATTTTTGTCTTACCTGTAAAATCCTTTGCATTACGAAACACAGGCTTCTCCTCTGTTCTTGTGTTCCACTCCTTCATTGCTTGCTACAAAACTGAGGCATTCTTTGAGCAGGAGGGGGTTATATTGTGCTGACCTTTTCAGCTTTGCTTGTGAGTGTCCAAATTTCTGAAGGTGGCAGTATAACCCAGTGTTCCTGATTAACCAAGCCTATGTCCATGATATACTCCAAGAAAAGGATTTTATGGGTAAGACTAAAATCTTATTTTACACATTAATATTTTGTGATGTCAAGATGGAAAAATACACTTTAAATGAGAAGTCTAAATTAACATAGATGTTATGATATGGCCATTATCGAAATGTACAGTTCTACTTATCTTATTTTAAGTTTCTATAGAATTTAACCTTTTGGTTAACCGATAGTACTGTTCTATCCATTGGTTGGATTATAGTTACAGTATATTTGCAGACTATTAGATTATCAGTAAGTAGTGCAAAGTTGTACCATGTGTGTGTGGGAAGGGAGGGTTTTTAGAAAATAAAACTCGTGAGTTGGGCTTGATCTGTTTACCACTTTAACAGCCTTTTTTTTGCTTTGACTTTCAGGGTAGTGCAAACTTGGACATTCAAAATGTAAACCAGCAGACGGCTCTTCATTTAGCTGTTGAACGTCAACATACACAGATCGTCAGGGTAAGTTGCATATTTCAAGGGCAATCTGATGTTTAGTGTAAATATTGTTATATACCTGCAATGCAGGTATAGAATTATTATATATATCTGCAATGCAGGTATATAATAATTTGTTCACAGTAGTTTCCACACTGTTAGTGATCCAGCTTCATAATAGGATACACAAGGGAAGGATATATAGTGCGGTTTAAAGGACTAAGCATTTAGTGTAAACATGCTTCATAGTAATTAAAGGCCAATTCCATTCAAATAGACATTTCAATTTTGATGTGCACTGAAAGCAGAACTAAAAAAAAAGCCCTTGCAGTTGGGCTAACCCTGCACTGCAAGGGTTAACTGTTCATTTTAGTCTTGGGGCTCAGATAAAAAAAAATATACTTACCTGATCCTTGATCCCGCCTGGCTGCTAGACCAAGTTCCTGCAGCCTCTTCTTCCTCGGACTCCAGCAGTCGAAGCCCCACTGCTGCCATCACGTCTTATGCAGGTCCATTCACCTGCAATAGATGTAAGGATGCCAAGGGACATACCACAGCTGGAGTGAAGGGGGCTAGATCCTCTCCCTTTCGTCTGATGTTCTTACCATGTTCATGCAAGACTCTGAACCAAATCACCAGTTATTTGCTAACTCTAATTGCAGAGGCCACACATGTTCTCCCTCTCCTACAGATCATGTTTGGGATCATGCTCTCAGTACTGCTTTTTTTCTTCAAAACAGGTATGCTGGTATTAGGAGGAGCTATCCTCGGCTAGCCTACATTTTTTTTTCCCCCCTCCCCCTAATTCCCCTGTAATTGTCAGTATAACCCGAAGGTCAAAGACTTCCATTGTCTTTCAATGGACTCCAAGAGATGGATTTTACTGTTAGTACAAAAAACTGTTTTTTGTCTACTGTAGTTGTTGGTACGTGCTGAAGCAAATCTGGATATCCAAGATAAGGACGGTGATACTCCTCTGCATGAAGCCCTTAGACACCATACATTGTCTCAGCTGCGACAACTTCAAGACATGCAGGATGTTGGCAAGGTGGACACTACATGGGAGCCCTCAAAGAACACCGTAAGTACTGTTTTGTTTCTGTTGGGGTGTTATCTCCATAAAGTGTTTTTGTTTAGTAAACCATTTGGTTACTAGTAATGCATGTATATTTCTTTTTCCAGCAAGTAGTCATTTTGTTAAGTATGGTAGCAAGGAATGAATGCTGGATTTTTTTTTAAAATCCAGTGTGTTTTGTTTTTTTTCAGAACAGCTTACATAACAAACATAATTAGAATGTGTTGATTTGTTTAATTGCCCTTGACATACTTGCAATCAGTTTTGTTTTGATGAAATTCAGATACGTTTGTTGTGTTGTTGGGCACTCCTTTTAAAAGCTGCAATGATAAAATGTTTGTAAGACGTGGTTTTCATACCATATACTTAGAAGCTGTGCTTTTGGACCTTTTGACGTAGGGTGAGTAACATCTTTGTGGTTTTTTACTTTGATGTCTTCTTTATTGTATATCTTACCATGAAGTGTTTCTTCATGTTTATTGGGAGCTTCCACACATGTTACTGTGAGGATGGAAGAGGAGGCTCTTGGTATCCCTCATAAGAAACAATAATTATTCAGTATGAGGAACCCTGATTTTCTGCAGCAGCCTGGTCCCAATCTGTCCCTGTTCCTTTTCCCACCCAGTAAATCCTGATCACAGCACAAGCACATTGTTTCTCAGTACCATACTAGCAGTGAGATACCCCTCCAGTACACACATCTTATGAATCGGTTTTTACACACCAGTAGATTATGTGCATTGACCGATCAGTGTCCACTCTGCAGAGTGTGTGCATAAATCTCTCGGTAATAAGCTTCCACAGTCACCTATGCCCAGCATATGTGCATAATCCACTCTGCAGTCTGCTGTATGTATGCATTAACCAATTAGTGGCTTTTCCTCTGTGTATAAGCATTAACCCCTTAGCAACCTTTCCCCAACTCATGTGCATTAACATCCCCTACCCCAGTCCTCAGCCCATGTGTATTAACCCTTAAATACCCAGTTCCCAGCTCATGTGTCTTAACTCCTAACCACTCAGTCCTCAGCTCATTTGTGTTAATTCCTAAACGCCCATTCCCAGCTCATTTTCTTTAATAACCTGACCCGCACCTAGCTTAAATGCATTTTTCAGTCAGCCAGCATTACACAGTCATGCATGTTAAACCCCAAAGGCCATTTTCCAGCATGCATATTAACCTTACAACACTCGCTCGTGTTTTACCTTTAGCACACAGGCTTCAGCGACATTAGGGACAGTCCTGCACATTATTCAATACACAATTCCAAATATCGGTTTCATCTCCACTGTCCCTGGTCCAATAGTGATCTTTGTTGCATTTCCCTATTTCCCGCTTTATTGTTTACCTTACACTGATTTTTAGCTATATTCCTCCTGTTGAAAACCCCCTATGCACGGGTCCTATGCTGCCGCTGTTAAATCAGTCAGTTTTGTGAATGAGTGCCAAGTGCATTATCAAGCGAACTTCCTCTGTCGTTTGCCTATAGCTTTGACCCTTTTTGGGTTGCTACGTTTGTTGCTTTTTTTGCTTATTATGAAAAGATTAGTAAACACCTTCTTTGAGTCAAAGGGTTATTAAACCCTCTGTTTTTTTTGCATATATCTACTGCTAGCAAGCAGTAGATATATGCAAAAACTTAAAAAAAAACAAAACCTTTTAAACAGGTTGAAACTTACCTGTGTTTTCACCCGTCCGAAAATCTGAAAAATCCCGGGCAGCCACAAAGGATCTTGGGGCGGGCACATGCGCATTTAAGATTTTAGGCCGGGAGATGAGGAGAGACACAAGGTAAGTCTATGGGCGGCGTGAACCCGCATCCAGACACTGTGGGACAGGAAGTGCCAGCAATCACAGAGGAGTCGGCGCTGGATCGGAGACGCGCAGCAGCGCTGGAGGGACATATGAAAACGACAGGAAAGAAGAAGTTCGGATTAAGAGACATCATTTAACCTCTTGCCGTCCGCCCGTAGTAAAAAAACGGACGATTTAAAAAATTATGCTTTAATGTCACTTTAACTGTACTGCCTATTTTATAGCCTTTTCTTTATTCTCCTGCACATATTACCTCACATAATGCCTTTCACACTCCTTTTCTGCACACACTGCCTGCTGTCATAACCTCTGCACTCCTTGGACATGCTGCCCAATGTCATACCCTGTGTACTGCTTTCCTGCACATACTGTCTGCCATCAAACCCTCCACACACCTCTCCTGCACATGCTGCCTGCAATCATACCCCTGTCACTCCTCTACTGCACATACCGTGCACTGTCATACCCTCCATACTTCACATATTGCCTGCAAAGACACTTTTAGCATCGTTTGTAATATTCCCACCCTTTCCTTTTTATGGAATGGGCACGCTTTTAAGACTATATATAATGTGTTTGTAAAACCTTCTATTACCGACGCATTGAGTTATTCTTGTTTACCTGGGCCTATTTGAATATATTTTATGTCATCTATGATGTTGATCTAAACAATTTTATTTTATTTGCCAGCTTATTATGGGTCTTGGAACGCAAGGGGCTGAGAAGAAAAGTGCTGCCTCTATTGCTTGCTTTCTGGCAGCAAATGGAGCAGATCTAACCATTCGTAACAAAAAAGGCCAGTCTCCGCTTGATCTCTGTCCAGATCCCAGCCTGTGCAAAGCCCTGGCTAAATGCCACAAGGAAAAATCTAGGTATGGATTGATTTCAGGTTATTTCTTAAAAAGGATTACGATCTATCACTGTGATAGAAACAAATGTGTTACAGAGCAGTATTACACTCTGTGCCTAAAGGAACATGAAAATAGTACTTGGATCAGCAAATAGTAATATGAATACCAATAATAGATAAATATTATGCCGAGACGCAAATACTCTGTTGTTAAAGGCTAAATGTTCAGTTAGGTGAGGTTGTCCACTTCTAGCAATAGGCCACTGTGAGGCCGTCAGGCGCAGACACTGCAGTATGCGCCTGACGGCCTCTTCTGCAGTACTCTGCCATACCCTACTGCCTGTTGCACACAGTGATCAGTGATGTAGAGAGTGCTTTTACTGCATACAAGGCGTTTAGAAAACTGTAAATAAGTGCTTACGGGTACTTTTCTATTCAGTTTACAAGTTACCATTTCAGCGAGCTGCCAAGTGCACCTAAAAGTACACTTTTTTTCTTTATGTGCTTCTCCTGTCTTCTTCATTTAATGTTACCAATTGGGAGTGGAGAGCATCAGCACTTTTCCACCTGGCCTGTGACATGAGTTGGAAGCTTGTGTTTTTTTTATCCACTTTCACTGGGTTTTGTTGGGTAAGGTAGTGCACAGAATGGTAATATTTAAATTGATTGATGGTAGGTTTCATTGCAACCTTTTTAGCTTCTAACATTGTTAAAATCTATTTTTAGTGGTCAAGTTGGATCTCACAGCCCATCTATGATTAACAATGATTCTGAGACTCTAGAGGAGTGCATGGTGTGTTCCGACATGAAGAGAGATACACTTTTTGGCCCTTGTGGGCATATTGCAACCTGCTCTTTATGCTCCACACGGGTAAAAAAATGTCTTATATGCAAAGATCAAGTACAGTCTAGAACAAAGGTAATTATTCATTTTCTGGTATTTATTTTTCACAATAGAAACACCTTCCTGAAAATATGGTCTTTAAAATACTTGCTATGTTGTCATTACCCCTCAATAAATTAAGTGAAAATCCTCTAATACCTTGTTGGTAGTTACAAGAAAAAAGCAAGATAAAAGGGATAACATATAGAGAAAAATGTGTGTGTTCATTAAGGATATTGGAAAATGGAGTTACGTTTAAATATATTGTTGGTTTTCCTCCACATTCCGTAATGGTACACTTGAGTTCCTATACTTAATATTCTAGGGTGAGATACTGACAAAGGATTTCTGAACAAAAAAAGGCATGCATTTCTTTTATTTAGTCAAAGTAATAACTAAAAACATTAAAACAAACTAAAAGCTAAGATACGGTGCAGAGATTTGAATGTCTGTGAAGGTTCTCATTCATCCAGGTCATGGTAGATCTGTAAAAAATAAATCAAGGCAACTGAACTTGCTCTATTTTTCTTGAAGACGTTTCACTGGTCATCCAACCAGCTTTCTCAATTCACAGAATTGAGAAAGCTGGTTGGATGACCAGTGAAACGTCCAAGATAAATACAGTAAGTCCAATTACCTTGACTTATTTTTTACAGCTAGAGATTTGAATGGAATTTCAAAATGGAACCACACCCCTGATGCATGCAATGCTGAAAGAAACCAAATAAACATACTTTTACCAACACATATCTTTAGATACCAAGGAGCTACAGAGTGAATATCAAAAAATCTTTTATTGCATGTAAAGTTAAAAACCCACACAAAATGTATTATGTACAGAAAGTTATATACATATACCTTACAACCGGAGACAACATACATACATAAATCAAAGCGCAAAACCCTAATCCATAAAACCATCTAAAATACCCCATACACAGAAACATAATCTTCTAAAATCAGTACCTTAGGTGTAAAATACCATAAGGATAGGCAAAAGGAAAAAAGTATTAGATACTCTAGGTGTTACAGAAAAAAACACTCCAACTGGGAGTAAAAATGTGTGTGTTCATTAAGGATATTGGAAAATGGAGTTACGTTTAAATATATTGTTGGTTTTCCTCCACATTCCGTAATGGTACACTTGAGTTCCTATACTTAATATTCTAGGGTGAGATACTGACAAAGGATTTCTGAACAAAAAAAGGCATGCATTTCTTTTATTTAGTCAAAGTAATAACTAAAAACATTAAAACAAACTAAAAGCTAAGATACGGTGCAGAGATTTGAATGTCTGTGAAGGTTCTCATTCATCCAGGTCATGGTAGATCTGTAAAAAATAAATCAAGGCAACTGAACTTGCTCTATTTTTCTTGAAGACGTTTCACTGGTCATCCAACCAGCTTTCTCAATTCACAGAATTGAGAAAGCTGGTTGGATGACCAGTGAAACGTCCAAGATAAATACAGTAAGTCCAATTACCTTGACTTATTTTTTACAGCTAGAGATTTGAATGGAATTTCAAAATGGAACCACACCCCTGATGCATGCAATGCTGAAAGAAACCAAATAAACATACTTTTACCAACACATATCTTTAGATACCAAGGAGCTACAGAGTGAATATCAAAAAATCTTTTATTGCATGTAAAGTTAAAAACCCACACAAAATGTATTATGTACAGAAAGTTATATACATATACCTTACAACCGGAGACAACATACATACATAAATCAAAGCGCAAAACCCTAATCCATAAAACCATCTAAAATACCCCATACACAGAAACATAATCTTCTAAAATCAGTACCTTAGGTGTAAAATACCATAAGGATAGGCAAAAGGAAAAAAGTATTAGATACTCTAGGTGTTACAGAAAAAAACACTCCAACTGGGAGTATCCAGAATGTTGATGATGCCATCTAAAACAATTATAAAAACAACATGACCAATAAATAGCTTATACATCTAAACATGACTTAATAGAATTCTACATTAATGTAAGGCATGTCAATATCATAATTATAATATGTGTACTGAATGTGCACGAAGTATTGGAAATACCTCAATAGAAAGTGAGGGGCACACAAACCACAATATAGTTGTTTCTTCATAGCGAGTACAGGATAAAAACTATACAGTATTTGATAAAACTATAAACTGTACTAAGCAGTAAAAGGTGCAGTGAAGTAAAACAGTTACCTCTGAAGTGTAGTGGTAATGGAGTTCAACTGCAAGGGCAACCCAATACCGAACAATTCAAAGTCCAGGCAAGCATAATATATGGAGTTAATCCAGTAGTCACTCTTGTATATTAGGGGTTCCAAGCAAATTTCACTTTCTACTTAGAATGTTCACGTTGTTCTAATAATTTTTTTCAGATAGCATTGAAATACATTTGGTGTGGCTGCACCCGGTCCTTTCCATTAGGGTACTCTTTTTAGAGGTGTATCTTTTTAGTTTGCCTTGGCCTCTCTTTATCCTGTTCCTGGATCCGTTACTATTTATTGTAATCTGATATTCTTAGGAGTTAAAATTTTCTGTTTTAGGGTATTTTAGATGGTTTCATGGGTTAGTTTTTGCTTTTTGATGTATATTTGTACTATCTCCGGTTGTAGTACTATCTCAGGTACAGTATATGTGAAAAAATTCATTGCATGCATACATGTCTAAATATGTCCACATGCAATAAAACATTTATTAATATGCGCTGTGTGGCTCTTTGGTGTTCAAGGAATCTGTGTTGGTAATAGAAGTTTGAATGAATAGATAATAGGGATGCACTGAAATTTGTGCCAGTGAAACTTTGTGGGCAAAAATGGTATTATGGACAAAATACTAATACAAAAATGGCCAAAAATTTGGTACATCTCCAGCTTCTTTCCTCCTCTGTGTCCCCTCCGATCCCCGCTGCTCTCCCCTTCTTGTGTCTGTAGAAGCAGCGGGGATCAGAGGAGACACAGAGCCGATCTAGCTGCTGGCACCCAACGGGGAGGCGAGAAACTGTCAGGAGGCCAAGTAAGGGGGGGGCTTCAGCATTGGTCAATATTTACTGATGCTTTGCTGTACTGAGCAAACACCAAGTGATAAGTACTGATTACTCAGTGTTTGAAAATGACTGAGGACATAGTGATTACCATGTCCCCAGTTCTGAATGAACAGGTAGTGCCATACATCACTATCTGCTCACTTTTATGAATGAACATGAAGCAGTTCAGTACAGAGGCTTCCTGTTCATGCATGACTGAGTTGATAGTAAATATTTACTATCTCCAGATTGTAAATGAACAGAAAGGCCTTTGTACTGAGGGCTTCCTGTTCATTGAGTGCTGGGCCTGCAGAAAAAGATCGAGGACTCTGTCCTCAATCTCTTTCTATTTTAAAAGGGAAATATCAGAAGTCTGTTTAGACCCCCAAAATTTCCCCAAAGCCACTAACAGTAAACAGGTTGTAAAAAAAGTAATTTTTGGTTTCAGCCTGACAAATTTAGAAATTTTGGGTTCAGTATAAAAATTTCATTTTGGTGCATCCCTAATAATAGGGGTTCTAACATGGTCTAATTAAAGTACTCCACTGACCAGATCCAGACTCTGACCCACATGAAGAAAAATAAATAAATCTATAGTTTGTATCTGTATAGTGCAAATTAAAATATTGGAAAGCATGAACTGGATAACATTTGCATTTACTGCACAAACATGGAATGCTTTCGTAAGCATTAGAATTTTTTGCAATTCCAAACCTTTGAATAAGAAGCCATCATACTAATTTGTGCTCTTGTCCATCTGACTTAATCACCCTTAAAAACATATATTTACTTTGAACTTTACCATTCTACATAAAATCCGCAACATCTCATATAATTTTAATCGGCAATACTTGTTAATTATATATTGTGAAAGGTATGTGGGTGCACAAATTACATAAATTATTAGTTGGGGGGGGGGAAATTAGCGGAAAATGCATTTTTTCGAATTTTGGACTATTTACTTCCAATAAAAACCAAATTAAATTAAAGCACTATCTTTCCTGAAAAACAAAAACATCTATAACAAGTTAGGGTAGTGTTCAAGTTAGAGGTATAATGTGTGGAACCGAGACATCGCTGATACAAAATAAATGCTGTGAGTCTCAAAGGGACTAAGGGAGAAAAGTCCTGAGGACTCAAGTGGTTAAGTGTGCTGTTATGGAGTGTAGGGAAACAATATTGCTGCTAAGGGACAGTACATGCCAAAAAACAAGTGGTCACACCAGCTTCTCCTGGCATTGTAGAATCTCATTGCCAGTGCCTGCTTCCTTTCTATAGAAGGTGTAGGCAAATTCCCTCTTTCCAATAATGATGCCAACACAAATACATTTACAGAGCACCAGGTTGTTTATCTTTTCATTACAGCACTTATAGGATAAGTCGGAGAAGCACAGGTTTCTTGATTTGGGAGGTATATAAATTAAAGCCCAAACTCTGTTTTATTTTTGTGGTTTAATTGCAGATAGAGTAGGGAATGGTTAAAACACTTTTCAGGGTTTTTTAGTTTCTCTGTCCCGTTGAGTTGCCATTCATTCACGTCTTGCCCTTAAAACACAACAGGAAGTAAGAGGAAAGCTGGCATACACTGCTTACATTTCGGTGGAGTCCTTCTGATCCCTTCAGCGCCCCACTGAACAACAAAAGTCAATTTTTTTCAATCGACCCAAAGAAGCTGGTCTGAAAATTCTTGACCGAACAGTAACTGCAGCCAGTCAGCCCACCCGCCGCTGTCAAAATACAATAGCTCGGCAGGGGCTATTCTCCAATCCACATTGTTTAGCATATCCCGGTCAGGACACTATCTGCAAGGGGTTTGTATCTTCTCCCTGTGCTTGCTTGGGTTTCCTCAAACACTCCAAAGACTTGCTGGAAGGCTCATTGGCTCCTCTCCAAATTGTCACTGCATGCATGTGAGATAGGGACCTTAGATTGTAAGCTTCTTGAGGGTAGGGACTGATGTGAATGTACACATGTAAAAGCACTGCCTAAATTGTTGGCGCTATATAAATACCTGTAATAAATATGTATGGCCAGCTTTAGTTGTCACCACAATTGTCTTTATTGGAAGATTTTCCCAATATTGCTATTCTGATGACAACTTAAAATTTTGGATTTTCCCTCACTTTCAGTCCCAGTGACCATGACCACCCAGACAAACACAGAGGTAGATCAGCAAAGGTGCTCTTTGTTTGTCCATAATTAGTGAACCCATTGATGGCTAAGGGGATTATTTCAACAGTGAATGCATTGCATAGCAGCATGCAGTGAATCCCATACTTGAAGAACTGGATAAGAAGATTAAACACCTTCCATCTAGTGGGTTGTGTTTTGGTAGACTTGTCCTTTAACACATGTAAGGAGCTGAACTGGACAGGATGCAGTGAAATAGGCCCTTGTTTTAATAGGCCAGCCACATCTGGTATAATTGGGATCAACTTTTGCTGTTAAAGATAACTACCCCCACAGACAAGCAAGTGACATTTTCCATTACAATCACCTGCATGCACAAATACAGTAATAATAACTCACAGGTGACCGAGGTCATGGGACAAAGATTCTAGTGGGATTTTAATATTCTGAGACATTTAGTACCTTTTGCACACAACAGTTGTCTCTTGAAAGTTAATATTTATTATAGGTTTTAAAAAGTAAAGTTCATAGTTGATCTAGGCGTTTATCTTTTAGTGTAAGCCTACTTTCTGACTGTTTTATCTATTGAATTGTAGAAACTTTGTCGAAGTGTTGACAATTCACTTTTTTATTTCACTGTTATGTGTTTCTTTTGTCTGCAGATTGAAGAATGTGTTGTATGTTCAGACAAGAAAGCAGCCGTGCTCTTTCAACCATGTGGACATATGTGTGCCTGTGAAAGTGAGTTTAATAAACTATGTATATTAACGTTTTTCTTCCAGTTTGCGGACAAAACCATATTAAGTGGGCTAGTCATTAGATGTATTTTCCATATTAAATGCATGTAACGGCTTGCATAGATTTATTAGTTCTCACAGTACCACCCATATCAATAAATTGTCTCCACAGAAAGACAGCACCATCTTTGTTCAGGCATCATTCAGGGTCAGCATTTGCTTCCAAAGGCTGCCCCAAAAAATAACGTAATCCTTGTGACTGCAGGGTATTTTTTATGTTTTTGGCTATATGTATTAAGCTGTGTATACACTTGGCCATCCTACAGCCTCTCTCGTGTTACAGTATACAGTGTGAGAGAGTGAGGATCAAGGGGTCCTCAGGCCTTCAAGTTTTGTAACAGTACGCTTATCCTTCAAAGCAGACCATTATAAGATGAATTAGTGCTTGTACCACACTATTACTGTGCCAACTGAGTGTAAAAACTCTAACAAGCTTATTTATTGAAGGAGCAGAGTAAAATGATGGGCAAAGTGAGAATGCATAATTGTTGGAACTAATATGAAATCTGATAGGATGCTATGCGTGTTTGGATTTTGCACATCATTATTGCTCTGAACTGCAAGGCTTGAGGAACCTGTTAAAGCTTCTATAGTCATATTATGGGCTTCGAGTAGTTCCGCATGATCTTAGCAATGCACAGACTCCGGGATTAATTGCCATTCTCAAATGCAGAGAAAGGCTAACTATTTTGAAACGTTTCCTAGCTATGGTGCCGATGGTGGTCTATGGACACCCTTGGTATTGCTTTCTGACATGCACAATAATTTCTCAGAATGTGTAATACCTAAAATGCACTAAAGTTTGTCAGTCCTCTTTAACTTGTCATTGGGATGAAGAGTGAACATGAGAACAGTCTACGGGTAGCCATACATGTAACTTAATGAGAGAAGTCACTTGATTCCCCCATCCACGCTGTTTAGGAATTGACCCTGACAGCTATCTTCAGACATGTGGCACCCACGGCTGTCTGAATACATGAACAGTGACTGCATCTATTCAGATAACGCCGCTGTTCGGCCGATAATTTTCCACACAGCTTCTTTCACTTTTCAAACTTTCAAAACTTTTCTTTCAGAATAGAGCAAGTAAAATGGTAAGCAGGGTTTTTTTTTTTAAGTTATGGTATGTGTATGAAAACATATAACAAACACAAAATCAGTGTCACCCCAATGTGTCTGTAAAAGTGGAAATACACTTCACCTCTTTTGTCTAAGAAAAACAACTATTCACACATTACAGTTGGCTTGTACGGTCTGCCCAGTGTCTTCTAGGCTTATAAATAACTGTGTAAGAGAAAGGAATGCCTTAACAATCCATTCAAACCTGGTAGCCTCTAGCAGTTAGTAAGTCTAAAGTAGATTGTATGGATAGATTGGAACATGTGGCCAGCCTAATGTTCCCAAGGTTACATAGGCTGTGAACTCCTACCTTGTTATGTTCTATAAATATGACACCATATGGTTTTCAACTGCTGGTTGCAACAACTTTGATTTTATTCTTTCCCTTGTGGTACACTTTATGAAATGCCACCCAATGCATTGCCTTTTAAAGGTCCTTTCCTCTCAAATTGAAAATAGTTTTGTGGTGTCATTGTCAATCAAAAATGAAATATGCTTTGCATGAGCTGAAAAGAGGAAGGAGGAAGGGGGGTGGATACATTCACACAAAACTAATTGTGCCTGTAATTTTGTTATTGTGCATGTGCAGGAAGCTATTCATATCTGAGTGTAACTAGAATTCTGCTGAAGCACAAAGTGTTGGAACCCTATGAGTTCAAAACTTTCAGAGAGGGAATGTCAGTGGGGGGAATGTATCAAAACTGGAGCAAACAGAATCTGGAGCAGTTGCCAATGGCAACCAATCAGCACGCTCTACAGTTTGCTCATGTAAGATGTGAAAATGAGAGAGAGAAGCTGATTGATTGGCTGCAGTGCAAATCTGCTCCAGAATTTGTCTGCTCCAGTTTTGATAAATCCCCCCCCACTGTGTACTATTTGCACTGATTTACGTCAAAATACAGTGGGTTGAGAGTCTCCTCAATTGTGAATGTAGGTTGCCATCTCCCCAAACAGTACTTTCATTCAAATTGTGTGCGCAGAACAGCCTCCGTAGATCCCAGAGCACGAAGGGAGATATCTAGAATTCATGAGTATATATATTTCTATGGCGTGGTTAGGTTCACTTGTACATGTACTATACTGTAATTGGACTGGCAAGATGAGGTCTGTTTTTATTTTTTCATGTGTTTTATTCTATAGTGAGAAAACAAGCAGGCAAATATAATTATGAAATTCCTGCCATTTGGTGTACCTGGAATGCAAGAAGGCCCTAAACGGCTACATAATCCAGCTGGTAAAATGCCAATAAGGGCATTCACATTGTCCAGCACATTGAAGGGAATTTATCAATACTGGAGCAGCTGTGCACTGCGACCAATCAGTATCTTTTTCATTTTAAAACCTTAACTGAACAAACTGAAGAGAGAAGCTGATTGGTTGCCATGGGCAACTGCTCCTGGTTTTGTCTGCTCCAGTTTTGATAAATTTCCCCCATTGTAGTTTCTATTGTGCTGATCTATTTGTTTCCTACGTCTGCTTGTTGGATGTAGGAACATATTTTTTCCAAGGTTCTTTCTAGTATAATGAATCAAAAGTCTACTCCAGAAACTGAAAGCTGGCTATATATATTAAGCTAATGTTTGGTGGGTTTTTTTTTCCACAAGTGGATGTACTCTCGTATCCAGTTTTAGGCTGCTGACATATGTGTTGGCACTATTCAAGTTCTCTCTGACCTTGGGAATGCATAACTAAAATACTGCTTCGTCCCTTTCATAAACCAATCTGCAAAATGACACACACATAGGGGTTTTTTCTAGTTGGTGTTCATTTTAATCTAAGTTCTACTTTACTTTTCTTTCATTTGTCCTTATGCATACCTTTTTAAAGCAATATTTCTTTATTTTTCAGTGTTATGGTGATATTTGAGTAGATTCTTTTTAATTTTCTAAATGTTTTCTCATTCCAGATTGTGCAAGTCTTATGAAAAAGTGTGTTCAGTGTCGTGCTTTAGTTGAACGGAGAGTGCCTTTTGTTATGTGCTGTAGTGGGAAAGGAGGAGAAGATGTCGCAGATGACGTGGGTAAGAAGGGCTAGATTTATGACTCAAGGTGTGTCGCAAATGGGTCACAAGCAGCTGTCATGATGCAGTTACATTTTCAGCCCCCTTATTTTCCAACTTTTCTTTTCAGAGCACCACATATATCTCAACTTAAAGTGGACCTTTACCTCCTTTTACTAAAAATCACAACAGCATTCAGCTCTGCATGCTGATATGAAACAACCTTACATTCAATAGTTAAACATTTCTCATCTACTTACAATTACTGTTTTTCCATTTCCTGGTCCTGTTAGGCACTAGTGATGTAGTCCATGCATTGCTAGGAAATCTCATCTGTATACTGCAAGATCTTAGGGAAAAGCATTTTCCTCCCTCAGAGATGATGTGCATGGTTACATGTTCTAGTCACATGTGCAGAGTTCTAGGAAGTAAAGGAAGATGGAATAATCTGCCCTTAGGGCCATTTTGTGTACTGACCTGATCCGTACGCTCCTGCACTCAAAATGCATCCCTATGTGTTTTATGGGCTACAGTTCTCACGTGCGCAGTCCGTTCAGCTTACGACAGAAAAAATACTGCATGTCACATTTTGTCTAGTCTGGAAACGCAACGAAAACGGAACGGAAACGCAACACAATGCAGCTTGGGGTAGAGGTAACGACATGAACTGCAAACATTTGGATCTTGCCATGGACATACGAGTAAAGGAAGAAAAAGTATCCGGGTGACCTCGCAAATCCTCATACAAACTCCAGAACTGACCCTTGGAGTCCCGGAGCCTCAAGATTGGGTGTACCCAATAACGACGTCACCTGCGGGCTCGTTCTTTGCAGATTGCTGTAGCCAGCACCATCAACATGCCTGCAAATATGTGATACATGTCTGATCACCAGCTTTACATATACAAAGGGAAGTAGATGTTCCGAGAGGGCGGAAGTGACCTCAGAGGCTGAATCTGCATACTGACAGCCCCTTGGTTAAAAAAAAATGAACTGTCAGACCACGTCTGCTGATCAGGACCTGATCTCATGTGAACAGGCCCTTAAGGTGCCCATACACCTTACAATTATCTGCAGATTTTCTGTGGTCAGATGGAAAAAGTGCAACAGATTGGCCCAGGTGGAGATTATGCCTTCCACACAGTTAAGTCTTTTCCATCTGACCACAGATAATTGTAAGGTGTATGGCCAGCTTTAGTAAAAAATGGCCACTGACAAGAATGGGGAGAAAAAGAATAAACAGGTATGCAAAGAATAAAAAGCCGTCAATTTTCTAGAAGTATCTGTTTGTAGATTTGTCATTACTACACATTTCTAAAAGTGTATTTGTGGTCATTTTAAAGATGAGGGTTAAGTTCCTCTTTAAACAGTGCACATCTACACACAATTATTTTTTGTCCGATACGTTATCAAAAAAAGTTTTCAGTTTTATAAATGCATACAACAAAAAAAGAAAATCAAATATCATGTATGTAGGTGCAAAGGGGGGTAAACACCTCCCTGTAAAATAAAACAAACCATATAACATTACATTATATCAGTAATTTGAAGCACTGGCCTGGAACATATGCAAATACGCACTTCTGATTTGTCTCCGTTTTTCCTTGTCTGCATGAGATCCCAGAAGTATAGAATTTGAACCACACTCACTCTGGGAGCATAATCCAGGTCCACTGGAGGTACAGAGTGATAGACCATCCACCACAGCTTTTTCTATACATATCTTATGTCACATATCCTTTAATACAGTCAGGAAAGGATCCATGAATATTCAGCAGTTAAAAAGTAATTCAGGTACCTGCCCTCTGCCTAGTAGTTAGGATGGTCTTTTATTCCAAGGCACAATTTTTCCCAGCCCTTTTCAGTACTGAGGTACAGACTTGCAGACTTGCAGTTACGAGAAGGGAGGAAGTATCAATGGACTACAAGTGGGGGGGATGTCACTGCACATGTACTCTATTGAGAACTGCCTTAGTGGCAGACGGGACTAGTTTCTCCCGTCACAGATCCTGTGAATTATTGACGCGGATGTGTGGGTGGAGCTACACCCAGACGTGCCAAATTTAAAAAAAAATTGCAGGAACCTGCATGAGAATAATCTCACAATTTAAGTAAGTGGAGGGTGGGTTGGGGGATGTGACCATGTTTCATGCTACACCCTGAATATGGGTGTAACATGAACATGGTCATGAAAGTGTAGTTACCCTTTAAAATAAATACCATATGCTTCAGAAATAATCATAATTTGGATAACTGTTGGTTTTGCATCTTCATATATTGACCAAATGTCATTGTGTGTTTTATACCTTACAGCAGGCACTAACATTCCAGCTTTACAGAAGGACAAGGACAACACCAATGTCAATGCAGATGTGCAGAAACTACAGCAGCAATTGCAAGATATTAAAGAACAGGTGATCCTAAAAATCATCTGTTTATTGAAAAATGAATAGCAAGTTTTAATGCTCAAATATTACTTTTTAGTTTTTATTATTTAACCATTTGTAGTGTTCTATGATTATTAGGAGCAGTGAAGCAATTGTAATGACGGATATCTACACTTGTCATCTACACTTTCAAGGCCTATGCTTTACAGCTTTAAAAACGCATGCATTTTAAGGTGCATTTTGACATCATGCAAGAATTCTGTGCATTTCAGCACTTGTTTACTACATTTTCGGGCACATGCCTAATGAACAAAAAAAATAATGCATGCAAATACCTAAAACAACAAAAATGCACGTGACAATGCATTTTGTAAATGCCTAAGTGTCAGTGTTTTTACCCTCTTGGTGGATATTTTCTTTTAAAATGTTGAGTTGTACGATTTATTTTGGAGCAGCTCAGTTCACAAAGCTTTACAAACCGGGATAAGGAGCTACTATAGTGGTTAACCATGCAAATGTCATCAAACCCAAAAAATGCATTCAAAGTTTTAGTGCACAAAACCACAATATAACACCCAATTTCTAGGTAAAATAGATACAAAATATGTCAAGCCTTAAAATTGCCCCTTGAAATTTCAGTACCCAAGATTGTCATAAATGATTTTTAAAACCCTGCACAGGTCATCAGTTTAGTGTTAAAGCAGAACTCCGGCAAATAGTTTTTCTTAACCCTTTAAGTCAGGGGTAGCCAAACTCCGGCCCTCCAGCTGTGGTGACACTACAAATCCCATGATGCATCTCTCTCCGGGAGTCATGTCTGTGGCTGTTAGACTCTTGCAATGCCTCATGGGATTTGTAGTTCCACCACAGCTGGAGGGCCGGAGTTTGGCTACCCCTGCTTTAAGTGGTGCTACCCCCACACTGCAAGCAAGTGCTCATTTTCATCTAGGTGCAAAAAAAAAGGTTTTACTCACCTGATCCTCAGAGCCAGCTGGCCGTTAGACCGGTCCTTCCAGCCTCTCCTCCCCTCTGGTCTAAGGTCCCGTGAGTCATCATGTCCAGTACACTGTGTACAGTACGTGAAGACGCCGAGGGTCATACCATTGCTGAAGCTGAGGAGACAGGCTGCAGGTTTCCCTTGCAGTGGGGATACTATTTTATTAAGAAAAAGTTTTCCAGGAGTTGTATTTTAACCTTGAATAATGGCCCTAGAATTATTGCTCTTACTCTGGCATCTGTGGCGATATGTAAAATGCGTTTGGCAGACATTTGCTAGTCACCCTCCCCTCTAGCAGCCCACCCCTGCCATAGGTAGGAAGGGCAGCGGAGCCCAAAACACTTGGAGGGTGCACATTGCAAAGCACAACCACCCAAATCACTTCTAACACAAAGCTGACAGGTGACTTTTGTAGGCTGAACACAGTCCTGGCTGTGTGTTGGTAGCAGCGAAAGTGTTAAACGTATTTTTGGTTGTCAGCTTTGAGAATGACAGTGCAATAGTGGACTTATGTTTACCTGATAAAGAAACTTCGAACATTTGCCAGCTGGGATGTTTTGGAAAAGGAGGTGGCTTCATGTTGCCATGTTCCTGAATGGTGCATGAAATGTTGATTGCTTGACACTTCTTCTAATGGCATTAGCATTGGAACTGCACTCTGTAGTTCAAAGTCTGGGTATAAAGACTTGGCATGTACATGCATATAACAGTAAGTGATACTACAGAGCTCCTATCCTAAATAATGGTACAAACTTCAAACATGGAGTATTATACAAAATGAATCGTACAGTTCAAAAGTCATCATATTGAAACGAAATCCAGGTAAAGGTTTGACGTTCAAAGAACAAGTTGTTACAGTCCATACTCCATAAACATATTTGAATGATCTTTTAAGCACCAAAACTCTGTGCCCACCGTCACAGTGCAAATTCATACCCAACACATGTGATCTCTAAAGCTAGAAAATCTTTCTGCTAAAGTCACTGTTCACACCTAGGCAGTTTTATTGCTCAGAGGTAAGCACGCCAAAATGTTTAAGACAAGGAATCCCATTCATTTCTATGGCCCCTGTTCACACCTGATGGTCCCGGTGTGTGTTGTAAAGTAGCCACCTCTCCAAGCTCACTCCTGTGATGGTCTACACTCTTAATACAAATTACTAAACTTAACGTGAGATTGCAGTCCATCACAGGAGTGAGCTTGGAATGCTGGCTACTTTACAATACACACAGGGACCATGGGCAACAAAAGTAGCCACTCTCCAGAAGGAAGGACAGTGTCAGCATGAGTTCAGAGATGATTTGAGGATCTACAGCCGAGTGATACACAAATAAGATACATTTTTGTTTATAGTTAAGGTAACTCCTGAGTTTAGTGTTACTTTAAAATGTGATTTTGCAAGCCCAAACCAACTAACACTCCAGTCAGTGTGCAGTGTAATGTTGTCACTATGCCGCTCAATGCATTTTGTCTACTAGGATTCTGCTACATGCATATAACAATATGAGTAAATAATTTGAACTAAACTGGCTATAGACATTGTACATTTAACCCAATTTAATGTTTTGTTTTTTTACTTGTAGACCATGTGTCCTGTGTGTCTGGATCGGCTGAAGAATATGATCTTCATGTGTGGACATGGAACTTGCCAACTCTGTGGAGACAGGATGAACGAATGTCCCATTTGTCGGAAGACGATAGAACGAAGAATCTTATTGTACTAGATTCCTCATTATATTTTATATACTTTTCAAGCTGCTTCATTTTTAGTAGTGCGGATGGGTTGGCTTCCATGCTACGTTCGCTGTTAATTTGCTGAAAATTATGTGCAAAAGATTGGCTTTAAAATGTGTATTAGATCCTGCCACTGGTCTTTTACAAAATCTCAGCATACAGCTATCTTTGTTGTTAGTACTTCTGTGTGTCTTCTTACTTTGTGTTGTCTAAAATTTGAAAACACAAAGAAATTCTTGTCTGATGTTTGTGAGCTTTAAAATGATCGGTGGTGCGGTCAAATCCACATTTTCTGTTTTGTTTTTATGCAAGATATATTTATTTTCTTTCATTTTTTTTATTTTATTGTTTTTTTTTAATTGGCAAAGTTAGTCTTGTGCAGGGGGATATGTGCAGCCTGTGTCAGCAAATGGCCATGCTTTCTAGTAGGCCTGCAAGTGTGACTTGGCCTGGAGATTCCTTTTTGCCGTATTAGACTTTCTATTTTTTACTTTTGTTTTCAGATTGAGTAATGGAATGTCTTTTATTCATTTGCAGATACAGTATGTCAGAGGTTGAGCTCCCAAAGGCAGAACAAAGAAGCTAACTCAATAACTTTTAGAACACTATGAATGTAGAACTATCCCAAGCCATGTTTCTCAAAAAACTAAAACCAATAGGCCACTCCCATCGCTAAGTGCAGAAAATAAAGACATTTTTACAATGTATCACTTATTGCTACCACAATGTAAGCTGGGCTTTGCTGTCCTGTTTTATAGAACTACCATTTTCTTCTACCCTCTTAGATAGACAATGATTATATCAATGCATATTTTGGATGACCATGGTAGAAAGATTTTACATCTACTGAACCCTTCAAAATTCCCCTACTGTTTCCTCACTGACCCTCTAGTTGAACAAAAGATACTCATGGTGATAAAAAAAAAAAATTTGATTTCCTTTTTTTTTTTTTTTTTTAACTTATTGAACACCACAATGCCCATCCTGATTAACTTAGTGTGGATGTCAGTGGAGAAATGCTCCTCTGTTGTGTGGATCTCCAGATTCACCTAACCTGACCTAGCTTTATTTTATAATTTCATTGTGAATGTCAAGCTTGGTTTTTGATCTAAACGTGCCAGTTTCCATCCAGTTTACCCATTATTTGTCTTTGCTAGACCCGTAGTTGAATCATGTTGCCTGTTTGTTGACAAAGGCCTCACAAATTTAGCTGTGCTCCATCTGGATAACACCAACACATGCTGCCATTGCAACCCTTCTAACACAGCACTTCAGTACGCAACTATTTCAGTAACTCCCTGCACTCCAGGTATTACCTTGGTAAGGACATGCATACATTTAAATGGCAAAACAGAGATACTGGAAAAGGGAGAACTTGCCCACTTAAAGGAGAAGACTTTGAATCAAACTGAAACTCTGTGCCAGCTTATCAAAATTTGTCTCGGGCTTTCAGCATGTCTAAACCCGGTTTGTGATGTCTGTGAAATATACAGAAGCATTTTGTAATTCAGATTTAAATGAGGAATCTAGACAAATGTTTAGGATGGAGGTGGGCTTAGTAAGGCAGGAGTGTGTAAATATTATTCAGTCTCATCCACTCCTTTCATCTGCTGATGTAAAATGTCATGTGTTAAGTATACTGTTCCCTGCTATTCTCTGTGTTTGTATTGTGTGCTGAATGAAAATTGTTCATATCTGTGAGAGATCATTTAATACATAAGCAGGTAGAGATCTAGAGAGACTTGAGAGGAACATGTACTTGGTTTTGGCAGGTATACATTTGTAAATTACATTAGCCAAAATAATATTACAGGAAATCTATCTCAGCAAAATATCCACGCGAGTATCTATTCCCTGACTGATGTGCCACATATTCCAGTGCAGTGACTTGAGTAAGAAGGCTTGTTGCATGAGACCTAATCACATAGGTGCTTTGCTCAATGACAGAACCTTTTTAAACTAAAATATGGAAAAGCTAGTTTCACAAAATAAAGTAGGGAGGTTTGATTAAAAAAAAAAACACAATTACACATTTATTTCTTACATCCTGTGGCCATTTTTTACATGTTTTCTTAGAGTATGAAAGTTATACTTTTATTTTTCATACTGTCATACAAAGTGATAATGTATACTATTTAGAATTGTACATGTCTAGAAAGCACAGTTGCAACAGTAAAGACAAGATGACTATACATAATGAATGATATATTCTGAATCTCCTTTGCTTAACGTTTTCTGACTGTACATATCCTCTATAGACTCTTCTCTAGCACCACATATATTTCCATATTACTGTGGATTTTCCAAAGATAAAGTTGAAAGCAATGCATTATTACTAGTACTGCAAATGGACATTTAAAGTGCAACAGCTTTTTTGAGAAAAATCTATATAGTGCTAGGATTTAGCAAACTTCATTGCTGAGAACTACTTCCTAAATAATGAGGTGTTGAGGATGTCTCATAGTCACCTGATGTAATCAAGAGTTGTAATAAGAGAAGAAGTCTTGGAAACAGCAGTCTGCCAATCCCATGAGTAGGAAATCACAATGCAGGGGGAATCCTGTACATAGCCAGTGTACAGAATGACCACATGTTTTTATGATTGCCACGGTTACTAGGAAGCCATATCTGAATTACCTTTTTAAAGCCTACTTATTGTTGGTTATTACACTCCTCTTTGTGTGTGTGTATTTGTGATTATATATAGATATCTATATAAATACATACACACACATATATATGTATATATATATATATAATTTTCAGTATTATGTATTGAATATTTCATCCATTTAAGACTAATCTTGGAATTGCAGTTCCATATTGTAGGCACCTGCTACCCCCTTGCTTTA